ACCCTATACCCTAAACCCTAGACCCCAAACCCCAAACCCTATACCCTAAACCCTAAACCCTAAACCTCCGTGCCCATTTCTGCAGGTTCGACTACCCAACGATTACTGCCCTGACCGAAAAGATTGTGCAGGCCCTGGAGGCGAGTCAGACGTGCTTGGGGGTGTTTAGGGTTTATAGGGTTTAGGGTTTAGGGGTTATAGGGTTTAGGGTTTAGGGTTTAGGGTTTAGGGGTTTAGGGTTTAGGGTCGAGATGTGTTTGCTTCCCCGTGCGCCTGCAGATGCAGTCCTCAGCTCCTAAACCCAGGGTCTGTAGGGTTTAGGGGTTTGGCGTTTATAGCTTTTAGGGCTTATAGGGTTTATGGGGTTTAGGGTTTATAGGTTTTAGGGTTTATCCGGTTCAGGGTTTATAGGGTTTAGGGTTTAGGGCCCTACTAAGTTTACTAAAGCCGCGCAGGACCAATGAAGCCTACGTGTGGCATTCTGAGAATCTGCATGCCGGAGGCTTCGTTCCTCCCAGTTTCCTCCCAGAAAGCCATGACATGCTGGCCACGTTTGGCAGACATGCTTCTTCCATGCAGAGCATCCTCCGTCGTTACATCACTTCTGGAGTTGGCAATGGAAAAAAGCAGCGATAGGTGGCGTGCATCAGCAGTCGAGATCGGGCATTCGAGGAAGCGTAACACACAAAGCCTGAATACTTAGTAATACGATTAGTCAGGGCGCCTTTTTGTAACTGTACTATAGATTGTTGTTCTTGGTATTGGTGTTGTTACTCTTATTGATAGTAGTATGGTTCCTATATATTCTTATCCCTGTTATTATTGTTGTTTTCGCGCATTTTTACTTGTGCTTTTTGAGTATGATTACCATTCATTAGTACGGATACTATGAAGAAGAAGGCTCCTATATCAGAAGCCCTAACCCAAAGCCCTAAACCCCTAAGCCCTAAACCCTAAACCCTAAACCCTCAACCGGGAACCCTAAGCCCTAAACCCCGAAGCAATGTCCTTGGGGGTTTGGCAGGGGAGGTCTTGTTTGCAGTTGTTCGGGTCGAAGTTCGGAGTTGGCATCCCTAAACCCTAAACCCGCAACCTTAAACCCTAAACCTTAAACCTTAAACCCTAAACCCTAAACCCTACTAAACCTTAAACCCTAAACCCTAAACCCTAAACCTTGAACCCTAAACCGAAAAACCTTGGATCTCTTATTCTGTCCTATTCTGGGGACCTCAAAGGGCTCCGAAGTTAGAGAACTAACTAACCTCAGGGTTTAAGGTTTAGGGTTTAGGGTTTAGGGTTTAGGGTTTAGGGTTTCGAGATTTTCAACGTTTGGGGGGTTTAGGATGTAGGTGTCTAGGGTTCAGGGGAGTAGGCTTAGGGTTTAGGGCGTAGGTCCAATTCTTATCGCAAGTTGACGGAATGCGAAATGCACTCCGTACCTGCTCCAGCCATTTGCAAGACAAGACAACAATTGGTGAAGCGGAGCCTCCACATTGCATAATGGTCGCGAGCTCGGTGTCCCTGCTGTAGAGAGATTTTCGTTCAGCTTTTTTGCGATGTTTCATGGATTCCACGGCTGCTGTCACCGCTGATCCATGGTCAAGAAAGATCCTGACAGCAGGAATGGCGTGATGATTATATGGGCATGCTCGTGGCGCGTGTTCTTCCAAAGCTGTCGCAAACGAACCAAAGCCCTGAATCTTAAATGCAACAGCCTAGACCCCTAAACCCAAAACCGCAAAGCTGGGCCCCCACAGCGTCCCTTTCTGAAAGCCTAAACCATAAGCCCTAAGCCCAAAAGCTTAAGACGCCCAACAAGGCGAGCGAGCTTTGCACCGGGTTGTGCGATGCCGCTGCCGCCCTCAGCCGTGGTGAACTCACAGAGGCGAGGTTTGCGGTTTCGGGTTTTGGGTTTTGGGGTTTAGGGTTTCGGGTTTAGGGGTTTAGGGCCTTTAGGGCCTTTAGGGTTTAGGGTTTAGGCCTTTAGGGTTTCGGGTTTAGGGTTTTGGGTCTTCGGTTTCGGGTCTGGGGGATTTGACTGCTACACGGGTTTGGGTTCTACAGATTCACCGTTCTCCACCCTCAAGCTCCCTCTGTAAGCTTGTTCAGATTTTTGGATTGAAGTTCGTGAAAGGCGAAGTGGGAAAAGACTGGCACATACGCCTGTTTCAACGGCGAGTCTTCCGGATACAAAACACCCCGGCAAGCAGGCCAGGCGTTACACGCACATGCACAGGTATCGGCACTCTCGGCACAACACGCACGAACAGAGAGACTACACAGACACCAACGCACACCCCTAAGTGAAAAGGTCGAAGGTCGAGGAAAAAAGCAGGACCCTTGCATTATCATTCTAATCATTATTATCATTGCTTTTAGTAGTAGTATGTTATTACCATGTATATTTTTATGATTATTACTATCATTGATAATAGTGTTATTATTGTCGTTATATTTCTAACACTGTTATTATTGCGCAACTGCAAGTAGTTCCTTACTGTGCGGCGCAACGCATCTAGCAAGAAGGATAAACCCCGCAGACTGCCACCTGCACCGAGCTCTTGTTAAGGAGATTGATTTACATTACCATAATATGGAAGCGATGCTATTCAAGTTGTTTCTTTACTAGATGTTTATGGTAACTTAAACTAAGTTCCTTGTTTTCTCTTTACTAGATGCCTGTGGTAACTTAAACTAAGTTCCTTCTTTTGCTTTACTAGATGCTTATGGTAACTTAAACTCAGTTCCTTAGCAATAGCCCAGTATAGCCATCGAGACTATGGACCCTGCAGGTCTTGGGATGCAAAGCTGACGTCCCAAAGCCCCGGTCCTGCCCACTTGCTAAACCCCATTCTGCTCGAACCCCCGGTTTAGGGTTTAGGGCTCAGAGTCTAGGGTTTTAGGGTTTAGCCAAATAAACAACTCAAACCCTAAATGCCCGAAAGCCATTTACAACCCGCAGAAGTAGCTTCAAAACGAACCCTGTGTATGATAACACTGGCAGCAGTCAACCCTTATAGTAACCCTGTAGCAGCTCTTGCAAGGTACTTGAAAGAGGCGACGCAAGTCCCACAAGCCTTATCGTCTTATAGTAACGGTACCCCTAAGCCCTAAAGTGCCCACCTTTGTTGAGACTGCTTGACAGTTCTCACTTCCTGTCTCCAAGGCTTCAGATCCTAACGGGAAAGCTGAAGGGAACGAACCCTAAACCCTAAACTCTTACAG